CCAGTAGTCTAAGTGAGATTTCAAGCAGCATTGGAATGGACGGTATACTTCTGTGTGTAGCTTACTTTTTTTTAAAAACATAGGATTATGAGGTATAGGTGAGTCCTAAAGCAGTCTAGCCTGGTGCTATAAAATCAAAGTAGCCGCATAACACATGATTTCAATCTGGACAGACTGGCATTGTCATAATTTGAATTCCATCAGTCCCTGACCTGTCTGAAAGAGTTAATTGGTTCCACTGATGTTCTTCATTCTTGCTTGCAGGGAATTGTTGATGAGACAGGTATTTGACACGTGGTGGCTGAGTGCATGTGAGCAGCAGGAGAACCGGAGGAGAGAGCTAGTGGTAAATGCAGCACTTCCCTTTCAGCCTTGCCAAGGGGTAGATTGAATGGTTTCCTGATCACTTCCTGTGAACATGAGCAACACAAGATGGGCGTGCACCCTTTGGTATTCCACTTGTTTGGTTGGGGCCCATATGAGACAATTTCTGGTGCCCATCACTTGCTCTGAGGAAGCTTTCCCTGCTGCTTATTACAACTTATATCATGAGTTCACCAGTTTTCTCCTATCCGTTGCAGGCCGTTCACCATGGTTTCCTGATCACTTCCTGTGAACATGAGCAACACAAGATGGGCGTGCACCCTTTGGTATTCCACTTGTTTGGTTGGGGCCCATATGAGACAATTTCTGGTGCCCATCACTTGCTCTGAGGAAGCTTTCCCTGCTGCTTATTACAACTTATATCATGAGTTCACCAGTTTTCTCCTATCCGTTGCAGGCCGTTCACCACTGTGAGCAGCAGGTGTTAGTTCGTTTCTGGGGCTCCTGGCGCAGGAGAACAGTGGTCTGTTTGGAGGAGCAAGTTCTGCCACCTGCTGCTGTGGAACACTTTTCATCTCTGGAAGAAAAACATTCAGGAGATAAGATCAGAGTAAGAGGCAGCTTGAAAGGGAGACTGATCTTGATTCAATGTCCGAATCGGTCTCTTTCGCAAACAAGTTTGATTAATACCAACACTGACTCCTCATGTGTGTTAGAAACTGTTAGTACATCCCAATTCTAGTATATAGTATAGAGAGTTTGTCTGTCTGTGTCTGTTCAAGAATTTCTCCTAAACCAGGGGTGGGCAGTATGGATGTAGGAGAAGGATTCTGGCCTGGGGGAGGATTTGGGAAGCATGCTGGGGGGGGGGGGGGGGGGGGGGGGACGGGGGGGGGGCTGCCCCCCAAATAAATTGTCCTCTAGCCCCCGTGGGGACCCCTCTCCTGAAGCAGAAAGCGCCCGGTTCGAGCCAGAGTGGGGAACAGCCTTGACATGGTGGCAGCGGTGGGATATTCAGAAAAGGCCAGCACTGCTCCCTACCCATCACCAAAGCTGGCCGTGCTCGCTGCCTCAGTTTCCCTCCTCATGCCTTTCCCTCCCCCGCGACAGGTGAGCACGGTGCGGATGCAGGGCGTGATCCTGCTGGTGTTTGCCAAATACTATCACCTCCCCTTCCTGCAGGACATCCAGACGGATTGCACCCGGACCGGGCTGGGCGGTTATTGGGTGAGACGCACGTGCAGTGCCCACTGGGACGTGGGGGGCACGTGGGGGGGGGGACCCCAAGGCCA